GGGGTTGGGTGGAGGCAGTGGGCAGCAGACGGCGGCAGAGATCAGCAGACGAAAGCATTGTGTTTCGACTAGAGAAACAATTGTCACCAAGATTTGAGGTGTGTTATGTGAGGGTGGTGAGGGTCCGGCGGTCACGTGTGGTCGGACAGGCCCAAGCAACCCTGTTTCAAAAGGTGCTCGAGGGAGGGATGGACCAGCAGATCTCAGGACGTGCACAGGGTTAAGCTCCCCGGCAACATCGTGGCGCAGGAAAGAAATCAGCTCACTGGCAGATGTAGGGGAGGTAGGGCGGCCCCAGCTCGACCGCCATGTCGAGGAGCACCGCCCGTGCGTCGTCGCGCACGCGCTGGGCGCGCGAGGACAGCAGGTTGGCGACCCCCTGCAGCGCGCGCGGCAGCTCCCGGCGCTCCACCTCCGCGGGCAGCAGCTGCGCGCGTTTGCGTGTATGTGTGTGTGTGTGTGTGTCAGTGAGTGCGCGCACGCGCACGCGTGTATGTGTGTGTGTGTGTGTGTGTCAGACGGAGGGTGTGTGGGTTTGTGAGGTGTGTGCATACAAGGGGATGAGAAAGAGATTTGCACTTGGTAGCTGGGGGAGGGGATGTGCGAGTGAGGGCAATGGCCCACGAGCGGGGGTGTCTCAAGCCAAGAACGTCCGATGTCACGCTTTGCGGGGCAAGGCAGAGCCTGTACAAACCTGTCCCCCCAATCCAACCTACGGATTGACCCCACAACGGCATCAGCTGTGCGCGTGATTCAGCCTGTCATTGCTTCACGCGCGGCTCCCCCAGGCCCAAGCCCACCTTGAGGAGCTTCACAATGGCCACCGCCACCGGCGGCCGCACGCTCTCCCACTGCTGCTCGACCAGCGCGCCATGCAGCGCCGGCAGCACCTTGCCGCGCAGCACGCGCTGCGCCTCCGCGGCCAGCGCTGCGCGGCGCCGGCGCTCGCGCTCCTCGGGGGTCACGGCCGCCGCGGCGCCCTCGTCCGCCGCCGCCGGCTCGGGGGGCGCCTCTTCATCTGCCGCCGCCGCCACCGCCGCCTCCTCCTCCGGCCCCTGCTCCTCCTCCTCGTCCCCCTCCTCGTCGCCGGCGGCGCCCTCCTCGCCCTCTGCCCGCCCCTCGCCACCCCCCTCCTCTGCCCCCTCATCCTCGGCGCCATCCACCTCCTGATCGCCCCCGTTCGCAGCCGCCCCGTCGCCGCCCCCGGCCCCTGCAGCAGCCGCGCCCTCCTCCGCAAGCCCCTCATCCTCTTGAGGAAGCGGGAAGTGGAACCCATCCAGCACCGCGCACACCGCGCGCACGACCGGCTTCGCCGCCGCGCGCGCCTCCAGCAGGCGCAGCCACTGGTGCAGCAGCGCGCTGTACGCCGGCCACGGCAGCTTCCCGGCGGCTGCGCGGAGCGCGGTGACTGCGGCGTCGGTGACGTTGGCCTCCCTGGGGGTGGTTGCGGCATCCGGTGGTGTCGATGAATGATTGAATGGGGCAATGGTTGTGACGGTGTTTGCAGGGGGTGAGTGGCGCCGGCTGAGAGGCTTGAAGCCATGAATTGCATGACATGTAAGGAGTCTGAGAGTTCCAAACAAAGGGGGATACGAGGGTGAGCATTGGCATGGCGTGAGTGATATGCCACGCGGCCTCGAGCGCGCAGGCGTCTGTGGCGCCATACATTGACCAGGCGCCCACGGTGGTTTCGGTGCGCAAGGTAAGCAGAAGGAGCCTCGGGTGCGATCTGGCGGCCGCCGCGATCGAGGGGCGCGCGGGCGCCGCCGACGAGGGAAACGGCCAGCCCCGCGCGCCCGGGCGCCGCCGATGAACTGTGCACACCAGTGCACCCAGCCAGCAGGCATGCAGGCGGCGTCGAGCAGCAAATCCATGCCATACAAATCGCACATGCTGGTGCGCAGCCGGGACTTTTTGACTCCCTGATGCACACAGCGGCTTGGCTGGCGCCGAATTCGGAGACAACCCAAGCTCCCCTTACCCCAAAAGTCTGCGCTTTGAAGGGCACTAAAGCCACCGAGAAAAACAGACCTGCCCACGTCCGCGGCCTTCTTGTCGTGCGCGCGCTCGCTGTCGCCGCCGCCGCCCTCAAGGATGAATTGGGTGAGCAGGGGGCACGCGACGTCCACCAGCACGCGCGACGAGAAGACGACCGGCTCCTCTTGCTGCTGCTGCTGCTCCTGCTGCTCCTTCTGCTGCTGCTGGGCGCCAGCCTCCGTCGGCCCCGCCTGCGCCGCCTCGTCGCCGCCGTCCGCCTCCATTGGGGTCGGCGCGCCGTTCTCTACGGCGCCGGCGGGGCTGGCCCCGGCGGCGCCGCCCTCCAGCAGGCGCGTGAGCTGCATGAGCGCGCGGCCGCGGCGGTGCACCTGCGGGGCGGCGCGAGCACAGGGGGGAGGGAAGAGACGCGGGGGGCCGGGGCCGGATGGAGAAGGGAACGCAAGTGGGGACTGACGTGCGACAAGGCCAGCGATCGGATGTGCATGAATGAAATAACAGAAAACAGATGCGGGTGGCGAGTCGGCCTGCAATGAGTGGACCCATTCACTCCCTGCCGTCCTCTCCCAGGGCAAATGCAGCTGCCCTCACCCACCCCCGCCGCCCCTGGTCCCGAGCACCGCCCTCCTCTCGCTCGAATTCCCGCAACACCTTCCCCCTCCTCCCAAACCAACAACAGAGCTCATTGCCCCCAGCCCCACCCACCTGGAGGTGCGCCACATTGAGGAAGAAATCCTTCTCGGGGTCGCTGCTGCCCAGCCGGGCCAGGTCCGGGAACCTGCCGGGAAACTGCGCGACCGCCGCCCTCAGCAGCACCAAGTGCTCCTGCCGCACCGCCAGGGAGGGGCTGCGGAGCGCCGACTTGCACTGGGGGTAGATCACGCGCGGCAGCAGCCGGGTGAGGTCGTCCGCGTGCAACGCCGCGGCGGCCGCCTCCTGCGCCTGCTCCTGCTGCTGCTGCTGCTGCTGCTGCTGCTGCTGCTGCTCCTGCTGCTGCTGCTGCTGCTGCTGCTGCAGCAGCAGCAGCGCGCGCTCCCGGTCCGCGAGGGCGGCAAGGAGCCGCGCCAGCGCCTGCGCGGCCGCCTGGCGGAGCGCCAGGTCTTCCCCGTTTCGCAGGTCGTGGAAGGCGGCCTGGACGACGGGCAGCGCCGCGGCGCGGCCCCAGGACGCCCACACCTCGGGCCTGAGCTTTGAGTACGCCGCCAGCCGCGCCTCGTAGTCGGGCTCGTCGAGGGAAGCTGCCGACCAGCTGCACAGCGCGCGCAG